TCTCCCTGCCCCATCTCCGCGCCGTCCGACAGCTAGCGACCGTCTTGAAGTGCAGCTTCCGATGGGAGTCCGTCGTTGCAGCCATTGAGCAGAGACGCATTGACGCATTCGACGACTGGACCGCCCAGTGCCTCTCTGGCATTGAGACCGTCTTGGTTGACGATGGCTTGGACAACCCCGATAATGCCTGGGACTACACCGGGTTCGACGACTTCACGCGAAGCAAGTGCAAGCGTATCGTTCGGGTCGAGAAGCTAGCTGCAGACATTATCAAAAGCATCGCCAAGACCTACGACGCTTCGACTCAGACCCGTACCGACGTGCTTGATGATGCGTATGACGAATGGCTCGGCGAGTTTGAAAAGGGCATCAGGACTGCCCTCGAGGACCCTGATGTTGTGGCATTCAAGTCTGTCATCTGCTACCGAACCGGTCTCGACCTAGAAGCTGCCGATGAAGACGCTGCTCGGAAGGCCTTTGGAGAGATCCTTGCCAACTTCTCGCTGATGGACTTTGAGCGCCTACAAGAAGTCAGTCTGAACGACCTCGTCGTCCACCGGACCGCGAGCCTGATCCGGGACTCCGACGGTCACAAGAAACCCATCCAGTTCCACACGGGCTTAGGCGATAACGACATTACCTTGTCCAAGTCGTCTCCTGCCCATCTGCAGAGCTTCATCCGGGCATATCCATCTGTTCCGATTGTTCTTCTCCATGCCAGTTATCCCTTCATGCGAGAAGCTGGATATCTCGCCTCGGTGTACGAAAACGTCCATGTCGACATTGGCGAAGTCTTTCCCCAGGTCAGCCAGGACGGCCAGGAGCGTGTTCTCCGACAAATCCTGGAGCTTTGCCCCTGGACCAAGATTCTTTGGAGCACCGATGGTCACTGGTTTCCTGAGACATATCTCCTGGCCATCATCCAGATGCGGGAGGTCTTTGAGACTGTATGCCTATTCCACCCTGTATCGAGAAGCCCGGATTGGACACCGAGCTAATTTTTGTGCTAGGTTCTCTGCGAATATGTGCGCAAGGGTCATATCGGACCCAAGGCCGCCATCGACCTTGTACGGGACGTCTTGTTTCGAAACGCCAACAAATTGTATCGCCTCGGTCTCGAGTTCACCGAGCTCGAAGAGGACCCCGTCATTGACCTGGGTCCCTTTCTGACGGACGTCGACCTCTTCCAAAACTTCTTGCGAGACCAGGAGACACCGGATTTTATCAGAATCACATGGAACGATTTCGTAGCACAGCCGCGGATGCGCATGGTTCCCTTCCGCAAGTTCATGACCCTCCTCAGCGATGGCAAGTCGACAGACATTGGAATCGTCAAGGCTGTGTTTGGCCTCATCCAGAACGACCTACTTGTCCCCGGAGTGACCTCTACTGGCGAGTACCGCCTCCACCCCGACTTTTCCTCTCTCAAAAAGGGTCCCCTCGACGGCCATGTCAGCATGTATGCCGAGTTCAGGGAGAAGTCGGGCGCCCGTGTCGCTCTATGCCCGCGCTCCCTTCTTCAGCGCGCAGTAGAGTTCGGAACCGAGAACCATCTGAACTTTCTTCTCGGATTCGAGATCGAGTTCCTCCTTATCGAGCGCCTCGACCGCACCGGCAGCTTCCACTCTGGGAATGACACCGCCCGCTATGGCTCCCTTGCTACCGACGGCCATGCCTGGTCCGTTTCGCGGTATTACGCCGACCCCAAGATCTCCAAGCTCTTGCGTGATATTGTCACAGCCCTCGAGGACATGGGCATCTACGTAGAGCAGCTCCACGCAGAGAGCGCCGTGGGCCAGTTCGAGCTCATCCTTCCCCCCTATCCGCCTATCGAGGCCGTCGACACCCTCCTCCACACGCGCGATGTCATAAACTCCATCGCCACCGCCGCCGGTTTCAAAGTCACCCTGCATCCCAAGCCTTTCCCCCACGGTTGCGGCACCGCAGCCCACACGCACATGTCCATTGCCTCAGCCGCCGGCGCCCGCCCGGACGTCTACGAGTCTTTCTATGCCGGTATTCTCAAACATATGCGCGCCATCCTCGCCTTTACCTACGCAAACCCGGCGAGCTTCGACCGCGCCGTTGACGGTGCTTGGGCCGGTGGCCGATGGGTCTGCTGGGGCACGCAAAACCGCGAGACGGCGCTGCGCAAGGTGGAGGACAGCCACTGGGAGTTGAAGACGATGGACGGGCTGGCAAACCCGTACTTCGCCATGGCGGCGGTGCTGTTTGCCGGAATCGGCGGTGTGCTGGCACGCGAGCCGCTGAAATGGCGCGACTGTGAGATTGACCCGGCCAAGCTGACGGACAATGACAGGAAGGAGATGAATATCACGGAGAGACTGCCAGCGAGCCTGGAGGAGGCGCTGACGGCGCTCCAGGCGGACGAAGAGCTCGTAGGGTACCTGGGGGAGGAGCTGGTGGAGAGATATGTGGCGGTCAAGGAGTTTGAGATGTCATTTTTGGCCAAGATGGGCGACGAGGAGAGGAGGCAGTGGTTGATGGAACGATACTAGGAGAAACGGGGGAGGTCAGCCAATGCTGAGGAATTTGATATGCCGAGTTTCGTTTGTATGGTTATCGAATCGGTTGCGTCTTGCCCTCAGCATGATCTGCTCTTGGATTTGTTGTTTTACTTAGGGGGTATCATCACCCCCGCCCCTCCCTAGCCCAAAAAAGGGACATGGAATAGCCACATGCAGGCCAGATTTTCAGAAAACAGTACCATATTCGCCTTACTCTTTAGTAGAAACACAATGGTATATAAATCCATTTTTGGACCCAAAACAGAAAATCAATCATTCCTTTTTACGGACGCTTCTCCTCATCCATCGCCATCTTCTTCCCTCCTCAGTCGTGGAACGCCTTCTTGGACCCCAGCATGCCCTCGCTGTGTCCGCTCCGCCGCCGCTTGCCGAGCACCTCGCCCACCCAGTCCGACAGGCGGAACCCCCAGTGCCCGGCCACCAGCGCGCCGCTGAGGATGTTGACGAGCTTGATGACAAAGACAAAGAAGCTGTCGCGCGACTCGACAATGTTGAGCAGGATGGGCTCAATGTCGTACTTGAAAAAGATGCCGGGGATGGTGCGCTCGTTGACCTCGCGGCTCTGCTGCGTGACGGCGTACTGGTTGGTGGCGACGGAGCGGCTGCCGCGGCTGGCCGGGTGGCCGACGCTGTACATGGTCGGCACGATGGACATGAAGTACTGGAACTTGTGGAAGGGGACGGCGGCCGTGTCGACGGTGCCGTCGAGCGGGTTCTCGAGCGAGGGGAGGTAGGTTCCGAAGGAGAGCTCCGAGATGATGTGCGAGAAGTTGAAGGCTGGGAGGGGGTAGGCGGGTTAGTCTGGTTCGGAGAGTGGGGGGGGCTGGGGGGGGGGGGGGGTGGGAGTGTACCGTTGTGATCGAGATGGTCACCCATCTCCATGTATCCGTGGCCACGGGCGGTGATGTGAAAGTCGCCCTGGACCTTGTTGAGTTCCAAGCTCCCGTAGATGCGACAGCCATCGGGCGAGTTGCCCCACAGCCGCGGCGTCTTGCCCCAGCGGGCGCGCTTGCGCCCGAGGGCGACAATATCGTGGACGTGCTCCTCGCCGAATCCCTCGTCGTGCGCGTCCTCGTAGCCCTCACCCGTGATGGTCTTGCCGTGGGCGTCCTTGCCCAGCTTGTGGATCCCCCGGTTGTCGGCCCACTGCGACCAGCTCGTCGGGTCCTTCTTGAGCCTCGAGGCGGCGAGGATGCGGTCGCCGGCGGCGTCTTGGACGTTGACGTGCAGGTCCTCGCACTGCATCTTGACGACGATGTCGAGGTTAATGTCCAGGACGTGCGAGATGCCCTTTTCAACGGCAAAGGTGTGCTCCTCGGTGCCGCGCCACCACCGCCCCAGCTCCGACCAGCACAGCAGCGTCGAGATAATGATCATGGCGACCGTCCACTTGCCGCCCCCCGCCGTCCTCTCGACATATTGTGGTTTCGCCTTGGCTAGAGAGCATCATGGCTGTCAGTGGGCGCCGGAGTGGCGGGGCGGGGAGGTGCCGCTACGTACGGAATGCATCGAATGCCTGGACTATGCCCCCTTTCGCGCCAAAGGAGTCGTCGTCGAGGTCTTGTTTCTCGTAGCCGTTCATCATTGTCGCGGTTGGTGGGTGTCCTCACTAGGTGAGGTCTCCCAGGGTGAGATTCGCAAATCCTCCGCTTGTCTCGCTGAATTGACAAGTATCCGTCCCTGCCCGTCGTGGAGCAATTCGAGTCGCGGTTTGTCGTCAGCCAAGATATCTGTCGTCTGATGGTCGCAGAACCTCGAGTGTTTGGTCCTCGCTACGGGCGAGCGCAAGCAAGAGTGGCAATCGGTTGCTCGTCTGATTCACTGCCACCGCATTGGCGACACTGCAGGTCGCCTTGGGACGGAAATTCTGGGCAATGGAAATGCTCGAGACGAATGAAGGGCAGGAAAGAAAAAAGACGTCTTCCCCGGTAGTGATGATACAGAACTCAACATCAGAAACCACGTCGTCAGCCCGCCGCAACAATGGGCATCGCGAAACGAAATCGAGAGGACAGCTTGACCAAAACTTCCAATTGGGCTTAGCAGCACCTCACATCCCTGTCAAGTGCGCGGCTGAAGTGGCGTGTGCATGGAGCCGGATGCACGAACGTGGGGTGGGAGTTCAGGGTTAGGTACGTGGGAATTTCACACACTGTTAACCCTGAATCTTGAATTGCTTTTGGGCGGGTGTGAGCGATGCTGGCGGCCGCGACGTGACAGCTACGGTAAATATTTGTACCGTGTGTTGACTGCTAGTCAGCCAATTCTCTGGTCATGTAGTGTTTCGATCGTTGTCTCAAAGCCGAACTTACAGGGAAGCAAGGAGGTCTGTCTCATCGATGGCCAAGGTTGTCATTGCGCTCTCCCCTCCACTCGTCCCCCAGCGCCCCTCCCGCCCCTCCCCCTCTTCCCTTGACCGGCAAAACTGAAGTTGTGGCAAGCCAAAAAAGACTCCCCGGGAAAGGGTCGAACTTTCAGCCTCCAGATGATATGTGTACATAACAGTCTGACGCGCTAGCCAATTGCGCCACCGGGGATTCAACTGATTGATGAATGGTGCTATCGAAATAACTATCCAATACTCACAGGTGGTGCAGCCACCGTGTTTTTTTTCATTGCCTTCTTTTTTTAATTCATCGTATTCCTCTTCTTTTCCTCAGTTTGTTCCACATTTCGAATAGAATTTGTACAAGTCAGTCTTTTCTCTTGCATTCTTCGTTTTCGCTCCTATTTTTCTCCGTTTGCTGAATTTGTTTTCTTCTCCCGTCAAATAAACTCCTGACCCAGGCTACCAACGCCGCCTTTGAACGGAGATATTCTCTAGAGGGGTAAAGAAAATCAAGATGCATTACTGTCTAATCACAGAGTAGACTATTTCATGAAACAGACCACCTTCGAGCCCCTCTCCCAGTCAGCAGGAAGCCACCCATTCCCCATCCTCCACGCTCGTCACAACCTCATCGACCCCGGGCACCTGCAAGCGTATCACCTCCTCACCATTCGGAAGATCATTCTCCACCGCTCGCCTGTCCCCGTCCTCCAAAGTGGCCGTGAGACCAGCAGCGACATGACGCCTGGCGAGACGGAGGCGCGCGACCTCGCGGTCCACGGACACGAAGCAGCGGAGATCCATCAGCGCGGCAGTGGTGCTCCAGGGAATTTTGTCAAGGAGGACGTCTGCGTCGGTAAGTCCATGTTCTGTGTCCTCGGCCTAATGTGCCAGGGGTGAAGGGGAAGGGCTTACAGTTTCCCTCAAACACCACGATTCGCTGCGTCGGGGCGACGGCGATGTCGTCTTCCTTGGGATCCTTGATCGCATGATCGAAAGACGGGGCCAGGATGGTGCCGGTCTCGCCTGTGATGGGCTCCCGCAGGGCCTGTACTAGTCTGAGGAAGCCCTCGCCGTCAAAGGTGAACTCGGCACCCCGACGAGCGTGTGCCGTCGCAGGGTCGGGCATGGCGTCGAGCTGGGCCCTGGTAAGGTGGTAGCCGTCCATGGGAACGAAGGCGGCGAGGGGGGTCCCGTGGGCGCCTCCGGTTGAGGCGGCGTGGCGTGCATTAAGGGCGGCGGTGACGGTTACCGAAAGGGTTGTTTTCCCTGTGTACCGGAGAGTGAGGGACTCCGAGGACGATATAGGGGCATGACGACTAACCTGATCCTGGGATACCGCCGATGGCAATTACTGAAATCCGCGTGTAAGTGAACGTCTGCAGGTATGTTCAGGGCACCCGTGGGATGATGCGTCCTGGGCGAGATCATCACCTTGAAGAAAATATGAGCAAGGACACTTACACAGCCGCCTGTCAGGCGGGGTCTCCTGGAATCTTGCCCAGGCCTTTTCAACCAGTTTTGACACCTGGTCTTCCATGTTCAACTCTGAGGGAGACAATTCGCGTTCAATTCTCGTGCCTCCGATATGTGCTAGGAGAGTCGACTAGGAGAACCCGAGCGTTTTGTGTGAAAGTATTCAACCAAGTAAAATATTTGGGGGAGACGATTCCTTCGGGGTGCGAGAACAAAAACTGGAGCCTTCTCTGAAAGTTGTCAATGATTGTCGAGAAGGTTGAGGCTGCCCCCCCCCCGGTTGCCACCAGACGAAATCCGACCAAACAGGTCCAATAGGGATTCCACAAAGTTACACCACTCCCCCCTCGACCACCCGCGACCTAACCTCAAAAGAACCACCACGACGCCTCCTACGAAAGCGAATAGTAAAGGCAAACCCAAAATTGAGAATCATCATGGCAGACGAACCCCTCGAAGCAGGCCTGCTCGGAATTGCTCTCTCCGACTCCGAGTCATCAGACGCAGAGATATGCAGCACACCCCACCCCACAACCACAACCACAACCACAAACGGTCCGGCCTCCCGCGCGGATCGCACCGCCCTCTCAGAAGAGGCCTTCCAGAGCTTAAAAGCAACATATACCCCCAAACTAGAAAACGGCGAGGTCTGCTCCCACTCTACATTATATCCACTTGTTGATTTGTATTGACCCTCTTCCAGATCTGGGCCACCATCTCCCTCCCCGTCAGTGCCTCGGTCAACAAGCCAGAGGCGCAAGAACTGGCCCACGCCGTGGAGGAGCTGTATTTCCTGCGGCGGTGGGACGAGGCTGTGGCCTTTATCCAGCGGGTCATGGCGCCCGGGACGGGCGAGGGCGAGACGAGGCTGGACGAGGGGACCAAGCAGCTGTTGCGGCACTATGAGAGTCGGTGCAGGGAGAGGGCATCTGGGAAGAGCGCTACGCAAGGGGGGCAAGGTCTAGCGCTAGGCGCAGAAACAGAATGAGTCAATGTCGGCATTTATTTTCATGATCCACGTTCTTTGCACGAAATTGGGTAGATGGGAGAGGAGATGGATTATTTCCACAAAAACATCTTCTCTAGTGACCCATATCCGTCTCTTCTACGTCTATTGACGCTCGGCCTGTCCACCTGCTACTGCAGTCTTTTGTCCTCAAGTTGGGAATCTGTCTATTTCCAAGCCCCGCGCGCCGAAGAAAGGGGGAAGTCAAGCCGATGATGCCTCATCGACAACATGGCGACACGTCAACCCCTAAGGAGCGAAGTTACAAGTGGAAAGGGTATCCTCGTAACTCCGAAATGGAAGCCAAAATGAAAATGAACAGCGGGTCTGAAATACAATGCCAACCCGCTGCAACGCCGTAAAACCATCGAGCGCCGTCTGATGTTCCCTTTCTATGCTTAATGACGAAATCTTTTTCCATAACCAGCCCGCGGAGGGGCAATGCAGGTGTGAGAGTAGGGGAGATGGGGGTAGGTGCGGTGTCGTCCTTCGAGTGATTTGGGATGATGCTGGTTTGCGAAGTCTCGGAAGGTTGTTGGATATCTTGATGCACCAGCTTGATGGGCGTCAGCGGCGAGAGCCGGCGCCGGTGATGCGGAATCCAGCACGATAATCCAGCACGATATTGGCTCTGAGAGATTGCGATAGACTTAGACGCTCATGCCCTCGGCGAACTCGGCCCGGCGGATGTTGGGGGCTTGCTCCATGATCATCATCATCTTCTCCCGTTCCCTTTCCTCGGCAAACACGCGTCGGCTCATCTCCAGCACGGCTTCGAAGCCCTCCTTGCCCTTGGCGGCGTTCTCGCGGAAGCGCTTGACGAGTGTATCCTCAATGCTGTTCTTGATTCGCTGCCAGCCGCCGCAGAGAGCCGTGATCTTGGCGTCCTGGGTGAACTGCGTCTGGTGTTCGTTGAGAGGCTTGTAAACGACAGTTTCTTGTACGCTGATGAGGTTGTTCCATGTGAGGTTGGCCGAGACCATGGTGACGGTCTTGTGGGCGGGGTCGACGTAGGAGGTCTCGAGCATCTGCGACTCTTCCATGGACACGCCCATGATCTTCTTGAGCCATTCGGGGGCGCTTTGTTGGCATGTGATTAACCGCTCGGTGCGAAGGATGCCGGTGGCGGCGTCGACCTCCCGGCTCAGCGTGTCGACGGCGACGACATGTGTGGACTTGTCGTTCCAGGGGCAGTACTTCCGCCAGTTGGCGGTCGAGACCTCCTCCCACGAGTAGTCGAATGTTTCGGCGTTGGAAAACACCTTCATCTTGAAATATGTCTCCTTGATGGGGGAAACTGGCCGATGGGCCGCGTTGATCTCGAGAGGGGTTTTGTGGTGGTCGACTCGGTGGTCGGTGTTGGTAGGGTTTCCGATTACGCCTTTCGGCACCGGGATGAATGGACGGCTGACTGTTCGGGAGTCGGGTTTTGGCTTGTGACGCGTGGGGGGCCGAATGTGCGGAGGTGTCAAATCAATCCAGAATGTGGTGTTGGCGTTGGAGGGAGAGTTATATTGGTGTAGGAAGTAGTCGCGATAAAGATCGAGCGAGCGAGCGTGGTGATGTTAGGTTATAGTTATCCTACTCGGGACCTGCGGTGACGGATTCAACTTTCAGGCGGGAGATGGACGATGGGCAGCGGGAGGCACACGAGCTGCCCGCACTGCGTCTTTTTCAACTGGGACGAAAAAAAGATTTCCAAGCCAATCAATGGCGCCCGATTGACCCGCAGACGATGAAATCTTATCGGAGGGAGGCACCAGGACACAAAAAGTGGCGAAATCCAGCCTCTCACAGGCCCGCGGCCTAACTCGAAGCGGTAACTTTGCAAGGGACATCCAGCGGGTCTTCTCGGCTTGTCCAATCCACGAAGCGAATTCTTCCGTGATCGGTGCTGAAGATGTCATCCTCCACATGTTTTGCCCCTGCCAACATCACGGTCCACCGTCGTCACCGCCAATCTTTCCGCCTTGAATCACTCTGCTCGTCATGGTGGATTTAGGGGTCCGGGGAATGTAAATCGCTGACGACTTTGGAGCCGTCTCGACAATTCCGTTTTTCCCCCGTCGAGCCCCCCGTCGAGTCCCCCATCGGTCTTGTCCCGGAAGCCCCAGTTGCAGATGCCCGACTCCGACCTGGCCAAGCCGGCGCAGAACGACACTTCGGCATTCCTACCCTCCGTCGCCCCCGCACGTGCTCCATCATAGACCGGCAGACCTACAAGCGTAGTTTCATACATTTAGCGTCGTTCAAGTCCGCCATAGAGCCGGGACATGTTAGAGCCATATGGATTTATGGAGAGACGCGACTCAATTCTTTGAATCACAACACTCGCTAACTCACATCCAGCCGTTCATGTCAACAGGGTCCTGGTCAATGCTAGTTCACTCCTATGATATGCATATGCCTTGTTTAATAGTCCTCTCCGCGGCTGATAACCTCCTTGACGGTTGGGCGGATGAGAATTGTCTGGAGCATCGTCAGTGATTGCTTCAAGAATACCAATATTTTGAAAACTCACATGCTCAAATTGGGCAGTATACGAGCCCTTCTTGTCCACCAACGGAGGGTAGGACTCAACAATACCATTCGCGACGAGGCTGTTCAACTGCATTCGTGTCAGCTACAGTTATAAGGGTAATCCACATGGGAACAACTCACCCCCAACAGGTACTTCTCCTGGCCCAGGCGGTCCAGGTATCGTCTGCAGAACGGCAGCGTGCCAA